AAGACAGCGAAGATCGGAGTGGAAACAATACAATAACGGATATAATTTTTCGTAATGTGGCAATGAAGTTGAGTAAGCGTGCTGAAGATCACACTAATGTACTCGTAACAATAAACAAAAACAGATGAAGGCAATATGAACATCACGCCTCATTTTTACGACTATCGATAGAGCTTAAAGACGTACAATAATGCACTAAGCGGATAGTATATGAATTACTANAGGACCTCTGAAAAGGGCTTACTGATGGGAACCGAGATTGATTGCGGGCTAGGAGTTGATCGCTGCAAACGGTTTCGGAGGGCGGGGACTACCAGATTTAGCATCAAAGGAAAACAGATATATACAACTGATTTCTTCATCAAAAATATTACGACGAATGGAAAATGTACCGTAATGCAAACAAAACAGTTGCCAGAAAAAAACAACCAGTGGGTATCTATGCAGTATTCTAGAAAAATGAGGACAACTTCTGATAACTGTATTTAGCTATTGATTACTTCAAATCTTGTTAGTATTTCGTTCTTTTTATTACACACCTAGGTGTGATGAACAGCAGACGGGGTAAACCCCATAGTCACGAGGACCTGCTGTTCGGTGGTTGAAATCGGCAACCTAAGCCCCGGAACTTGAAGTGGCGAACCACATAAGGCCCCGATAGGTTAGGCGTGGTATCGAACCGGACGACAGCAGAGCAGCCTACCACCAAAGTCGGGTGGCGGTGGCGGGCTCGAACCTCGGACCATAGGGTCCAAAGCACGCCAGTGACAGCGACTAAACCACTGCGCCACCACTACCCACGTTTAGATGAAATCAACCGTTGTCACGCCCCTGTACGAATTATAGAACACTTTTCATTAGTACGTTATAGACGATTGGCGCGATAAAAGCAGAACGCCAAGAAAAGACTGCTTTAAATGAAATACGTCTGATAGCTAGATAATTATTAGTGGTGGTAGGCAGCTTTGCTTCGGTTCAATACCCCGCCTAATCTAGCAGGGTCGGATGCAGCTCGCTACAACAATCTTTGGGGTTTGGATTACCAGTTTCCACCACCGAATAGCAGGTTGTTGTGACCACGGGGTTCACCCAAACTGCTGTTTATCACACAAGTGTCTGATTAAAAAGAATCCAATTGGTCAGTTAAGACCACAACACGAAAGTGCATTGTTAATGGCTGTTAAAACTGAACCGAAGTATAGGATACGTGGGTACCCAAAATCAATGACCAAATTCTCCTTAAAAGGAGGAATGACTGTTGCTTTGAGATGATCACTTGACGTACTCATTAAAAAAACAACTGAACTATTTTAAGTTTGCTTGTGCCTTCAAACACAACGGTCAAACAAGGAAAACGCGAAGTGAACGAAGGATGTAAACTTTAGTCTTCAAATGAGAATGACAGAAAATATGGCTGAGTACGAAAATGTACTGGTACCGAACGTCATTCAAACTGCTCAACTACTGCACCAGAGCCGTGGACTGAACTCTTGTTCAAAATGGAGAACATTAAATCGGAGACAAAGTAAGAGACAACTAGTGATGTAATATTTTCCGATAGGACAATTTGCTAGTGTAAATTTCTCCTATCTAATTCCAAATGCAGCAGAAACCAATAATCTCATAAGAACGATCAATCAGAAGGTGGGCGAGTGGTGACAATTTGCTTTGCTGTTTTAACCATATATTGTGCTATTCCTTGATAGCTGGTCCGCCTCGAATATTTTCGCCTTGGAGGGGGGGGGAGGGAGGCAGTGCATATGTATACATGCATGTATCATGTAAGGTAAGTGTTGTGATATTTGCTTTAAACGCTTCCGAGATAAAAACTTAATGTGAAAAACCACGTTCTGCCTGGCAATTGCGTCGTGATAAGCACCAGGATAGATATGAGATTGAGGATTCATAACGTCAGCTTGCTGTGTAAGTCGACAGATGAAACAAACAAAATCTGCCTGTTAGAATGTTGTTTCTTTACTTGTATTACGGAAGAACAATATCAGATAATGAGAACGTATTTGGAGAAGAACCGTTATTTTCCTGCGAACCCAACGGTGATCCATATGTTCTGAAATTTCAAGGGTGAAATCAAAAACAATACATGTACAGATAGTGAAAAACATACCTCAAAGTTGCACTGAAAGGGTTTCTCCCCAGTATGCACGAGTTGATGACGCTTTAGCTTGCTCGATTCCACAAACGCTTTCCCGCATTCAGCACAGACGTGTACTCGTGGACCGTGGGTATGTAGATGCTTGCGCATAGCAGAATTGTCCCGGAACGATTTGCCACAGCCCTTATGGGGACAGGGGACGAGGCGCACAGGAGTCCGATCCACCACTTCTCCATTATCGTACATACTCGCACCCGGGTGAAGTTGGGAGTCTGTATTAGGCCCGGGGGCGGTAAATGTGTCGGTGGTGGCTGGGGCAATAGCGGTCAATCGGTGTGCGCGCCCAGTCGTACTGACAGTTAGCTTATTCTCATCTGATCCGTGGCTTGTCCCATCGGTCGCTGTTGTGACAAACGACGAAATACCTGTAGAGTTCGAATTGTTCTTGCTGGCATTATTCATGCTTGAGTTGTCATTTAAAACGTTCCCGCTGGTACCTGTAGCGAATCCCGATTGAGCTTCATGTGTAAAGTGAACAACGGAGGACGGTAGAAGGCGAGTTTTCCCACGAAGCCCNAAGCCCGGGCAGGGGATGAGACAGAGAGTGAGCCAAATGACCAGATACACGTTTGATCGCGAAGCCCGGTTGGTTGCGCAATCCTTGAGCAGTGGGATAGCGATAACCTGGAATACAAATACGAGACAGAAAGGGTCGAAGGAATTTTTTTCTTACAAAAAGCAGGTTGACCGAATTCCAGTTATGGGAAACGCTAAACTAAGCCCTTGGAATCGATGTGGTGAATAACAAAGTTTCAGTTTGTGCAAACATTAATCATGCACTTTCGTGCACGGCTAACAACACGCGCCGTGGCTACCTATTTAGTGGCATGCGTAACACATGCCCCAACTAATGTGGGTGCTTAAGACTGTAGAGCACAACACAGATCGCGATGACTCGCATTGATGCAGTTTTTTTCCTTTGGGAACCTTGATCGGAGCCTTTGACTCAAAAGTGAATACAAAGCTAATGAGATAGGTGTGAAATTGAGCTTGACAACCGTAAAGCCACTTACTGCCATGTCTGACAAAAAAATGGATTACTGGGTATGCACTGCAGATGTACATCGGGGAGGGTGAAATACAGTGTGGACAGCCTACTAGTAATAGTGACTTTATCTGTGGTTATTGAGACTATTATTTCCTAAACCGCGAAGAAAATCAGTTCAACGTAATTCCCGTTCCGTAGACTGCGGTGGTTGCGCGTATACCATCGGTTAGACTACCTTAGCTCCTAACGTTTGCCAAAAAACGTGGTGGTCGAACTAGGACCTGGCGAAAGCGAACAAAAACGCTGACCAGACAACGTGATCAATAAGGTTGTTTTAGATATACTGTGGAATGATAGCAGCTCGGGATGCGGATGTTGGTGTTGGTGTGTTATCCGAGCTAGTTGGGGTAACCGCAGTTACATCCTAAGAGTTTTGTCATTGCACCCACTCATTCCTTCCTTTCACAGACGAATCTCGTCAGATTAACTTTATTCAAGCTTTGACCGATCAAATTACCTCTTATTCCTCCATTAAGTCGACGGCAACAACTATGCATTCTTATTCTTCTCGTTTTACTATATCATTAAAGTAATAATTCTAACTTATACAGACTACAAAGTGATTTCAACACCTGTGTTCTCCCGAACACCCCCAAGGTTATCGTTGCATTTCCCTCTTGAAGATCGTTCTGCATTTACGTTTGACTTCGTCCCTGAATTGTGCTTACTCCCAGTTTCTTCTCTTCTCTAATATCTTTTCGTATCTATCGGGAATGGATATACATCTCAGCCCTTTATCCATGNTCCATGCGAGACGTCTCTTTTTTATGACACACCTCAGAGTGATGAACGGGGGACGGGAAAAGCCCCATGGTCACGAAGATCTGCTGTTCAATGCTGGAAACCGGTAATCTAAGCCCCAGAACTTGGAGTGGCGGACACTTTGAACCATTTTATACTTCTGTGTAAAGTGTCATCATCATCACCATCATCATCATCGTACAGCGAAATACAGAAGCGAACTACACTGATCGCTGCCAAACTCGCAATGCATATGTATTGAGGTTTGATGGACGGGTACTGCCAGGGTGTCCGGACACTAAGCAGGAGAACGATTAGGGTTCTCGTCCAAAGCCTTTAGTTCTGACAGGAGCCTAGCCGCCCATTTACTTGGATCAATTACTCCTCCGACATTTTGACCGACTGAAACGCAAATTCTAGTCGAAACCCCAACCTGGAGGACCTCTACCCATTGACCTTCCAGACATGATTAGATCTGCGGCTTGATCAAAGCTATCCCGTATAGCTCGTTGGATCAGGGAGGTGCACAAGCCATCACACCACGTAAAGGTGCAGTCTCGTCGTGATGGTGTTGTTGATGCTCTGAGGTGTTTGGAGAGTCACAAATAGTAAATTGCCATAGAAACGTCAATCGAACCCCAGCACGAAAACGTGGAACATAACTTTCCCAGAGGGAACAAACACTAATGACGAAAGTTCAGGGTACGAACTGCGCTTTGTAACACTCATCAGTATCCTAGATCTAATTCATACTGAATCACCGAACGAGGACGGCCGCAAAAGAGAACACAAGTGTTGATCTGTGACCCGTCAGTAGCGATCACGGAAAGTAAACTGGAAATAAGGCCAGGATCTCCACCCTGATATCAATAGAAAAGTTTCTCTTTGAAGCGAATCATTGATCATTCTAATTTTTAAGAAAGTATCTGGTAACGATTGCGAAAACTACCGGCGGATAAGTTCCACCAGAATCGTCAAAAGTGTAGGTCTCTCTCATACTTCGAAGTTTGACTACTTCAAGAGGGACCAAAATCCGTGAACAGCAAACCATATTCCGGCCTGATTTTTTAATCAAAATTTCATCTTACGTAAGGTTCTTGAACTGCGTCACGCCCAAAACCGATCGCTGTGTTTATTGACCTGGAAGAAGCCTTCCACCCAGCTGACCGCGAAGTTGACCGACTCAGTGTCTCTAACGAATTGAGTAGATCGTTCGTAACCCGCAGTGGTGTGCACCAAGGGTGAACGACTCAGCCATTCCTGTTTAATTTCAACCTAACCGAAATACGGGAGAAGGCACAAGGTGGTTTCCGCAATGGCAGTACTGAATGGGCAGCTGGAGAAAAGCTAAGTGACTTGGAGAACGCTGATGATAACACCAGTTTGTCCAAACGCATTGAGAACGCGCAAAGTGCATCTGTCAAACAAAAGGTGCTGTTACACCAGTTGGTATGCGCTTTGCACCTTTAAAGTGCAAAGTGATGCTACAAAACTGAGTGTTGTCTTTCCCGTTATGAGGCTTGATGATCAAGAATGAGTCACAGTGGGCTGTTTCCCCCACTTAATTAGTTGCGTGACCAATGACAACAGCGCAGCAAAGGAGATGACCGCACACATTTCCGAGGCTCAAGCAGCGCACGAATGAGCATAGCGCAAATGTGACATCTCAATAAGGTTGACGGGCTGTGCATATCGCGACGCCGTTCACTCAGTTCTGTTATGTGGTCGTGAGGCATTGAATCCATTAGAAGATGTGTGAAACATATGAAGGCACAGTCAGTGTTTTTTCCCCCTCAACAGAGGCCCAACCCCTGTGCGCCTCTCCAACTTTGAATGTATTTCCAGTTCGACAGAGACCAATAAAGTCCGCTTCACTGTACCTCGCTGACGATGATCATGATGACATGGTGTGCCTATTCATTTCAATTCAGTGTGAAGGCCAAGTCGCGACCAAAATATTATCGAATAGACGAAATTCGCCTCCCTAAGGAGCGTTGTTTGGTGAGTTACCACAAAAGCTAACCCTTTCATGACGATCCAAAACTTTTTATTACTACACACATTGGTGTGATGAACAGCGGACGGCAGCCCCATAGTCATGAAGATCTGTTCTTCATTGGTGGAAACCGATAATCGAAGCCGCGGGACGTGGAGTGATGAATCAC